GGTGTGAAAAAGGTAGGTGAGCATGCATATGCTTTTAAAAGTAACAAAATAGTGTTGTTTGGCCAATGTGGCTTTCAAAGTCAGGGCACGGCTAACTCACAGAACGAACCCTGAAACAACCTCACAATTGAAATTGGAATTGTTCATATTGGTTTTGTGGAGAGAGAAGGAACGAAAAATCTCGAAGAAAATAAAACCCCTAAATCAAAAGCAAGAATCAACAAACTCTATCCACCTGTGATACCAAATGCAGTAATCAAAGTGTAGACCCCAGAGGTGAGTGCACACACTACCTTTTATTCTCTGTCTTAATACAAAGTACTTACAGCTATTTTATTCTTATGGAATTTTGGTTTCATTTCAGAATGTCCTGTCGGTACATTTGGGTTCAATTGCAGAGAAAAATGTCAATGTAAAAATGAAATCATGCTTAGTGTATGTGATCACGTGACGGGCACCTGTTACTGTAAACCAGGTCTTCAAGGTGCTTACTGCAACGAAAGTAAGTAGATGTTTTTAGGGAGGGAAAATAATAACTAAAGTTTAATTGAACCCTGAAACAACCTCTGGGCAGTTCTAAGGGCACTGCGTGAAATTCAGTACCATTTTAAGGTCGGCAGAGGGAGGAAAATCGAAGAAAACCCCTTTTGAGAGATAGTTTTAGTTGCATGATACTTTTATGGAGGAAGCCGAGGCATAATTACCGCAGACATTTACTGTTATGTAAGTTATAGTTTGGAAATCCGTATGGGATCGAATGGTTCCAACTTTATTATATATACATATGGCTTTCCCAATGTGGAGGCATAATACTAACATACTAACATATCACTCATGGTCGTAAGCTGCACGGCTGCTACTAGCGCCTTAATATGCAGCCCGTAAAGTCCTCCACTGATCTCGTAAAGCGCCATTGAGCTCCTGTAAATGTCGCTATATAAATTAATCATCCCCTTTCCATGGGTCCACCAACTACGACTCATGGCTTATATCGTAACGCTCTTTCGAATACCTCTTGATGCATGAATAACACTCATGAATTTATTGTGGATTTGGCGGGAAGGCGGGCGTTGCTGCAAGCTCTGGGACTCTCCCTCTGCTCCTACTGAAGTTGTTTTATCAACTATTTCTTATACCCGAATCATTATTTTACCAGCATGCCCTGTTGGTACGTATGGACAAGGCTGTTCACAGTCCTGTAAGTGCATGAATAATGCCACTTGTGACGTAGTAGACGGCAATTGCACGTGTTTACCAGGATTTGGCGGCAAATACTGCGAAGAACGTGAGTAAAGGCGTAATGGGATTCCTGTGTTCTCTTTCCCTCTTTTGCATAATGAATCGCCCTATACGTAACTGACCACACGTCATGGTACTCTCGTACTTCATCACCGCAATATATACTATAGACATGGCAGACATGACGGCTTTTATCTCTTCACCCCCTTCAGAATGACTACAATCACCGATAGATCGCTAGAATCACCCTAAGTCTAGAATTACATTATATCAAACTTTTTTGTTAAAAACCTATTTTTGATTTTTACAGTTCTTCCTACTGACCCAACTGCCAATAAAGATCAATTTGGTGAGCAGGACAGCTTTGTTCATCCAGGTGTTATTATTGGTTTTATTGTTGGTCTTATCATCATTCTATCCATTATCGTTGCCATTGGTTACTGGGTTTATAGAAAAAGACAACATGAGCCCATGCACAGACAACCTACTGAACCCATTTATGAATTTCCTGATGCTGCGAGCTCAATTGAGCTACAAACTACAACCAAAAAGAAACGTGACAACAACAATGCTATGGAGAATAATTACATGGGTATTGATAACCGCGGAGGGGTTGGAGATGAGCATGCATACCAATCTCTTCATAAAAAGAGCAATTACCATGGAAACGATTCCTCCAACAGTGAATCTGTTAGCGCTAGTGTTTATCAGTCACTGAAAGTAGACGGCAATGACAACGATAGAAAACTTGACCCAACTTAYCAGAGCCTCACAAAAACTGGTCAGCAGCAACATCTTGAACCGAACGACGCGAAGAACAAAACGGTTGCCATGGCGACTCACTATATGGGCCTTGGTGACCGCGCCAACGATTTATATCAGCCTTTGAATAGAAAATATGGTGGTACAGATGAAAACAAACTAAAAGATGATCTTAAACCACAAAGCCGTGACAAGGGTTGTCAAGGTGACGACCACAGTAACCATGACGACTACCAGCCGCTCAAGAAGATTGGCAAGGACAACGAATACCAAAGTTTGAATTCTGAAAAACGATTGCCCCTGGAAAACGGAGAATTCTTTGAGAACGCGCCGCAACACATCAAGCAGGCTGCCTCTCATCATGATGATGGCTTGAATAATAGTATTGATACGCACTATGAACCTGTTAGGGAACAAACCAATCAGGATGAAGCAGTAGATACGCCTTCCTATGAGATTTTACCACCCAGAACAATCATAAAAGCAATTTTTGACAAAAACCAGTGAGGACGAAGCAGTTGATACGCCTTCATACGAGATTTTACCACACTAGAAACCATCATAAAATTCATGACCAGAATTTCCGAATGGTCCTGCGCAGTAGGGTCACTAGACCTTTAAAGACAAGGTTAAGAATAAATACAGAAAATATAGGTACTCACAGGTTTTGTAGTTTTTTCTCGATGCTCAAGGTCTTAAACTTCTCATATGCATGTCCTTTTGAATTGTCATATAACTGTTGTTTCGTAGAAACAAATACAATCCTTGATTCGGTTTAAGAGCACTATTAAAGTGTCATTATTAAGACAGAACATGACCGCTATTTTCAAAATTTGGCACAAACATGTGTACATCGGAGAGTATTTATTGATTTTGTGCAAAGTAAATCCCTTCATATGCATGTCATTCCGACAGTYCAGTCTCTTGTTCACATTTTCTTTAAACATAACTCCAAAAATCAGCTTCAACCTTATGACAACGCCGTGAAAAGAAAACCCGAAAACTTTACTAAAACTTTCCCTCTTTGCACCAGTTCTTCGTATATCAATACTTAGTTGTTCAAGGCGTTCTTAGAATATGACAGATACCAGGCTGGTAGCTAAAAAGAGAAACCCGGGCAAAATTCGCGAGAAATACGATTTCGCAACTTTCAAACAGCCTAATGTCTGATCTTTCTAAATTTCAAAATTGTTGGCTATCCTTCGCAGATCAACCAATTATTCTTCCTAAGTGACAAAGAACACTGAACTCATTAAAGCTGCTGAAATAATATATATTATATACAGGGCCGTAACCAGGGGGGAGAACAGGGTGCACGTGCACCCCCCAT